ACATATAAGTACCTCGTGTGGATGGGTGTCCATTTTAACTTGAAAATATAGATAATAAATATGTTTTGTGTGGTGTGAAATGGCTAAGAGAAATGTATCACACTATTCTTCCCTGATTCGAGTTGGAGTTTAACCCTGCTCACGGTCTTGCCATAGGGTAGTACTACCCATTATTATTATTATTATAAGTATGCAAGTGTGTTCTTAGTATAGATTTTATGATTATATAAAATATGAAAAATTAGTCAAAAAGCTGAATATTATCAACAGTTTATTGACTTATACTGCACGCATTTGAATAAATAAATAAATAAACGCATAACAAATATATGTATTTTAACCTGTCGAGCATGAAAATGGCCAGGAACGATATGTTTTCTAGTGGGTATACGTATACATATATCTAAACAGCATGAGGGTTATACGTTCGAAATGTTTAATTCGTAATATGAAATGCAGTTCGAGTAGCAGTCACAAACATTTGTAGCACGATGCAAATTGTGTCCAGTTCTATCGTGCCGCCGTTTGTGAGCCCCGGACGGTTCAAGTAAAGCATTTGTGCGCTGGATGCGGATTTAAATAAAAATACTGTTTAATTCGAAACCCGTTACGCGCTACAATATAATAATATAACGTGGCTGAATTGTGTTTGTTTTTCACTAGGAGCGATCTTATCTACCATTGAATTAACAATTATTCTTGAGTAATTAAGACGCGAACACAGAAGATGCGAAATGACTGTTTTGATCTTGTATTCCTAACTGTACAAGCGGCTCATTTCGCTTATGAATTATGGTACGAACTTCGGACCCCGAAGGGGACGGATCGACGGACCAGCTGACGGACTACGTAACCGACAGTGCGTCCGCGTTTGCCTTCTCAAACAACTCCGGAACAAAATCGCATTTTGAATCAATTGCGGGTGCAACGATTTAAACGATTCCGTATCTTTTTTATTCATTTTTATTACAGCAATCCGAACTTTTAAGTGTTATATGAGCTGATTTTGAACGATACTTATTTTAAGGTTACAACGGTAGTTGAAGGCAATCCATCGATTGCCCTAACTGAGATATATTTAGTTTGCTAGTGAACGCTATTGGAAGCAACCCCATGGTCTACATTTTAATTGTGATATTGCAACAAATCCTCGAAAGACTATTATTTTTACTAGAAAACATATTGCTATCTGCATATTTCAATTTTTAAAACCGATATAAGGGGACCATATTCTATTTATGTCAAAATCGGGATGGCAATTTTTAGTTTTTCTAATCCGGGATGGGAAGGAGGCGAGGGGCTTTAAAGTAACAAATGCTATATATTTTATACGATTTTTTTATATGAATCATTTTTTTAATCAAAATTGCGGACTTTTAGTAAGAACTGTATTATTCGATTATTTGTAATACTATTTTATCTATAATATTATATATATTAAATTATTATTAATTAATATTCGATTTGTATGTTGTTATCGCTTTTGAGCTTTGTATAAAATTCTATTCAATTTTCTTCATAATTAATTTGAGACAATTACCACTTGTTTGTTTGTTTTTATAATCTTTGGTAATTTATCTATTAATTTTTGGTAAACTGGGACAATCCGAGAAAAAGATCTAAATTCATGACAAATATTGCTTTTAGAAAAACCCGGGACACGAGGTAGAAATCTGGGACAGTCTGTTTGTTTTCACAATTTTTGTTAATTTACCTATTAATTTTTGAAAAACCGCGACAACCCGGGACAAAAAATCTAAATCCGGAACAAATATTGCTTTTAAAAAAACCGGTACATAAGGTAGAAATTCGGGACTGGCCGGACAACTGAGACGTATGTTCACCTTCCCGATGTCACTACTGCCTAATATTAAGCTGTCCGAGATGGATATCAAACCTAAAATTTCTGAATTTCAACCCAAAGCTCTAAACACCAAACTACGTCAAAGCTCTAATTTTATAACATATCGTACATTTTATTCGCAACACCCTGTTTCAATTAAACTGGTAGCGAGCACAGACAATACAAATATAATATAATAAAATAATAATACAAAGGAGCTTCGATTACTACCAGATTGAAAAACTATTACATTTATACAGAAACCTTACAATCGCTCGTTCTGATATCAAGCAGCAGTGATATCATTTCACTAAAGAATATAAATATCAAAGTTAGTTTTGAAGTGAAAATATTCTTTCCGGGCACTACTGCAATTGGAGCCAATTCTCTAAAAAAAGGTATAGTATGGTAATGTTATCTTACGAGTCTATGTTTGTATAAATTGGTTGTAACAAACTGTCAAAAAGTTATGTATTTACTGTGCCATCAAGCGTTTCACACATAAAACCTAACCTACGAAAAGCACAAACGTCAAATTTTATCATAAGTGCATGTTACTGGTATCGCGTTCATAACGCATACGTGAAGTTAGGTTTTATATGCTAAACGCCTGATGGCAAAGCAAATATACAGTTTTTCACAGTTCGTTAATACCAACTCATATAAACATAGACTCGTAACACAGCATATCATAACATACCGATTTTATCCGAGAATTTGTACGATATATCGCAATTAGTAAGGAAAACCATTGGGATTCCTTTGAGAATATGTATATAAAAACCATAAATAAGTGTCGTTCGAAATACTTTATAGAACATATAGGTCCATTTGCTGTTTAACTAATATATTAATATATATTGTATCTATATGTATATATATTATTATAACATATTTATATTATGTATTTCAAACTTTCCGCGCTCCGGAAAAGAAATGTAATATCGAAATTATTAATATCTGATGAAAAAAATTAGTATAAATTTCAAAGCTCAAGATGATTTCATTATTATATTATTATTTGCTTGCATTTTGAAAAACTTCTAATACGTGAGATTTTTGATTTCATATAAAATATGTTGCTCCGAAAATTAAAACAAAATGCTAGTGCTAACCTCTTAAGACAAATATAACTTAAATCATGTTCCGACTCATGTCCGACTATTCTATATAAAATTTAACATATAAATCATAAATATAATAATAAATGTAATAACAATTGTATTTAGTATCAAATATGCTCAATAATTATATGAGTAAAATATAAATGATAATACCTTAATTTTTTTTATCTTATTTTAACATACACGTTTTTGTTCATTTGGAAAAATAGCTTGTGAAATCAAGATAGATTGTTATTTAAGGAATTTAAAAGATATAAGTGAGTAAAATAATTTGTATGGGCAGTTTTTAAGCATTTTTTCACAAATTGCTAATATTTTATTTGCAACATATACTAAATTAATAAATTATTATTATATAAATTTTAATTTTATTTATTATATATTAATGATCTATAAAATTAAACTTAATTAAAATTATTGTAATACGTTATTATATCAAATAAATTATATTCAAATATTTAAGAACAATTTAAAAGAAACTATAATTTACAAGGATTTTTATTTAATTTTAACCGCATGCGGTTAGATTAAAATTCGGATTTTCCAATTCGTGCACTTAAATTTCGTCAGTGTACTATATATTGAATTATATAATTATAAAATATTGCACTTGACTGGTAAGTTTTGTCGCTTTTTATCCAAAATAATATGACTCAGTGCGATTTAAATCGCCGAATGCAAAAAATACAGTTTGAATACGGATTCAACTCAATAACTGAAGGCAATAAGAATAATCATACTTGCACAATTTCGGTACAACCTGCACCTACAAAACCAAATTTTGTTTCCGTTAATTTTGGACGAATGACACACAAATTAATGATATTTCGGTTTTAGCTTATCGTATTGACTTTATAATAATATTTTAAACAAAAACTATTTTTTCTAAATTTTCAGAGCATCACGAGGCCAATCAAAATTTTTATTTGTAAGACATATGATTTACTAAAAATATCAAATAGCGCGTTTTATTGTATATTAAATAATATAGTTGATTAAAAAATCATACTTATAATATATAAATATATTGTTATAAAACTATTGAAACATGAAAACAAAACTATTTACTGTTTTTATTTTTAATTCATAAGGACTTTGATTCTGTTAATTTAATAAAGATAGAATCGAATTAATTAATATATGTCATTTCATTTTATATCAAATAATGTTTAATTTAGGAATATTTTTTTATAAAATATTAATAATATTTCAAAATGGTATTTACATAATCGTATTAGCAAAAAATATTGCAAAAATATTATAAATATATATATATATATATATATATATATATTACAAAAAATATTGAACTTATTCAGCAAATTTCAATTTTTTTTCAATTTTCGAATCCGTTAAAAATGTGGAATTTTGAAATTAATTTAATATTTCAAGTATTTCAAGCTATTAAAATTTATCCAAAACATAAATGTATGTTTTACTTGAAAATTATGGCAATAGTATTAGAATACCTAATAAATATTTTTTAATTGTTTTTCATTTATGATTTTTGAATAAATTTTATTTTTATTCGTAACTTATAAAATTGGAAGAAGACATTTAATAGATAGATCATAAAAAATATTGAACTTGCTCCGCAAAATTTCGATTTTTAAATTTTCGAATCCGTTAAAGAAATGCCAAATTTTCAAAATTAATTTTATTATTTGAGTGTATAATTTTAAATTAAATTTTATCCAAAGCGTACATTAATAAAAAATTTATTATTAGCAATAAAATAGTTAACAAATATTTTTTTATTATTTTTCATTTTTGTTTTTTTTTTAATTATATTTAATAATTAAAATTTATCCAAAGCGTACATTTGTAAAAAATTTAATAATAGTATTAAAATAGCTAACAAATATTTTTTTATTATTTTTCTTTTTTTTAAATTATATTTATAGCCGTAATTTATAAATTTAAAATAACACGTTTAATATATAACATAGATTTTGTTTCATGAATCGTTATAATAAATTAAACCAAATCTCACTATATAGGTACTAGAAATAATAAATAAAAATCGATCATACCTTCAAACAATAAATCACTCAGCGAGCAGCTTCAGGATTTTTTGCACCTTTAATTTTATCTTGGTATGCACTTAACACAAACTGATTTTATTGTCCTTTTTATGTTTTATAAAAATCCAATTTAAAACCACACGATCGTACACACCGACATTGAATTTTTTACACAAAATTTTACGGCAAGAAATTTCCGTTTCGGATGGAATTAACTTATATAGAATAATTTAACTGTTGCTATAATATTTTCGTCAGATTTAGTTTGATGTGTTTTCATGAACTAGAATTGTTTTTATTCTTTCAGTTGTTGACGGCACAGGCATCCAGCAATGAATGATAGAATTGGACAAGAACTCGGTTATATACTCAATCGGCAGACTGGCCGGAGCAGATCCCTCCACGGACCCACTGGCGTCCAACATCTGCATTTTGCGGAGACCTCAAGCACTCTTCTGCTTTTTAACTTATTTTTACCAACTCCTGACGCCTCCTTAAAATATCGTGAATCATTCTTAATTTATTCATAATTATTATATATATATATATATATATATATATATATATATATTTGTAGAGCTTCGAACGAAGAATACAAAACGTAATAAAAAACAAAAGTTTTTTTTAAAAAACATTTTTTATTTATTTACTATCGACGTTTCGGAACTAGGTACGTTCCATTTTCAGGACATCTGTCAAGAAACATGATCTTGATAAGATATAAGCAAACAATATGTTTAAGAAAAGCAGGAGATGGTGGAATTTTTTTTATATAAAATGAATAAAATTGTGGGAAAATTACTATATAGAAATATGACAATATAATCAAAATTTATTAAACGAATCATGGAACAAAATCTATGTTATATATTAAACATGTTTTTTTAAATTTTTAAATTATGGCTATAAGTATAATTTAAAAGTAAAACAAAAATGAAAAATAATAAAAAAGCTATTTTAATATTATCATTTTTTTCTTTTTGAATGGAAAGTACCTAGTTCCGAAACGTCGACAGTAAATAAATAAAGAAATGTTTTTTTAAAAAAACTTAATATAATATTCACCTGCAGTAGTTTTTTTTGTAAAAAGTATTCATAGTTTTTTATCCGACTGAATGAAAGTGATTTATATCCTTCTTATTGTTAATTTTTATACTACATTCTTATTGTTAAAACAATAGTATATGTTTATACATTAACGTAATGTTGTATTAAATTGTTTGTTTTATACTTATTTAATTTGAACAAAATATAAAAATTTTAAAAAAATGTTTATTGTAAAAAGTATATATTGAAATAAGTTAAGTTCTAAGTAAGTGTAATATGTATATTAATGATTATATGAAGCAACACTTTTTCTGCAAATAAATCTAACGAGTATACTAAAGAAAGACGCAAAAAGTACGGTAACTAGCTGTAAATAATAGTAAAAAACTTTCTCAAAATTTATTGCTTCTATTATACAAACTCATTATTTCCCTTTCTTTTAATATTAATTTTAAGTTTTTTCACAAAAATGTAACTAAAATTGGTTTTGGATAAAACAAAATCATTATAAATCTTTTATCGTGCAATTTATATATAACTTAATAATTTAAATTATGTTAAAAAATGAAGTGATATCGCAATTAAATATCGAACAGTTTTTTATTGATAACTGAAACAACAAGTATGAACAGTATACAATCCATTGATCTTGTGTAATTAATCAATTAACTATCGTGAAATAACTGTAATTAATTATATAATTATTCAATAACAATTTTACTTGATTGCGTTTCACATTGATCGATAATGTGATGAATCGTTTGGACAGTTAAGAGTTCATTGATAAATAAATGTAAAAAAATAATTATTGAAAGTTAAAAAAAAACTTATAAGGTATAATATTTAGTAATTTATCATTATATTATAATTTGTGATATAAATTATAATATAATAAATTCAAGTTTATAACTTCAGTTAAAATATTATAAGCTTATGATTATGTGACTAATGTAAAATTTTTGTGAATATAGCAATTTGGAATTTGATGTATGTGTAAATTAAACGTTTGAGAACTACTGAATGTCGAAGCGAATGAAAAAATAAATATTAAACATTTATATCCTAAATCGTGGGGTACAATCAGAATTGGCGGTTACGGTTTGAGATCGTAAGTTTAAGAAAGCATAACTGACAGAGGAGTGCATATTGTTCAACAATGGCCTGGAGATATCAAATCGTCCAAAAATATAGTAAAAGAAAAGAGTGACCTAAACTACGATTAGCTCACTCAACTCATAAATGAGAACATAAAGAATATCATGTCGTCTTAAAATAACAATCTAAATAACATAGATATCATATCGTCTGAAAATAGTTATCTAAATTACCATTTGTTTATAAAGTAAAGGATTAAAGTTTGTGAATGATAAGCAGTGGCAACTCATAATAAAGTACAAGTAGGATATCGGGACTTGCCCGTATGCAAGCGGTTAAGAACGACGGGACTTGATCCAGAGATCTCGGGATCGATATCCGCTTTGAGCAACCTGTTGTCACGCGGCAGTGACAACGATTTTCACTTGAAAATATAGCAATTGTTCCCAAGTAAAAATAGCCATCATCCAGCATTGCTGCACCAGTAAAGTCAGCCCTATTTGGTAAATTGTAATAATAAAAATCATCAAATATAGATGAATTAACCATTGGGGTACCATGTAAAAATAAGAGGTAAGAAGAAGTTTCAGCACAACAGTTTATAGGACGTAAGGTTCTGATTACTGTTAAGATATGAGAATAAAAAAATTAGGAATTCGTATCATTTGAAAATAGAATCTGAATATCATGGTTATCATATTCTTAGAAAATGCTAACTTAAACAATAATTTAATTATAAAATAAAGGTTTGAGGACTTGTGAATGATAAACAGGCGCAACACATAAATAAGTGCGTGTATAATATCATATCGTTTAAAAATATTAAATCAAACTATAATATATAAATTTACAAAAATTGCACTCCGAAATATCATTGTATATCAAATATGAAAATATCCATTTGAACTGTTACCTTATAGTAAGTTATAGTAATATCAAAAAATCGAAAATTTGGCATTCTTTAGAAAAAGTTGATGTGTGTGCGTGCGTGTGTATGTGTGAATACAATTTATTCGTCCACGATTTGGAGAGCACAGATCAATAGAATTTAGTGATTCAAAAAACATTCGATTTCTATTGACAGGGAGGCGTGCTGAATAGTTTTTGGCAAAGGCAGCCATTTCGAAGTAGCGGGGCAAAAAGTGCAGAAAATGACAATTAAATTCTTGAGACAATGCAGCATCCGATTGACAGAATGAAGAATTGACTAAATCGGTAAGGTATTAGTGGTTTCGTAGATCCAATAAAAAAGTTAAAAAATGCCATTCAAAAATGATCGTTTAATTATCAAATTACCAGGTATTTTACGGAAATTTTTAAATTACATATTTTGTACATTTCTATGGGTTTTATACGAAGATTATTTGTTAAACTGCGATAAATTTAGACAGACTTACGCGATACGATATTTCGTCTCTAAAACAGCTATGCAACGCGATTTTCGAAACATTTTCAAGTTTTCAAATGTTTTCAAAATTTTCAAATATATTAAAAAAATCTAAACTTTAAAAAAATTAGAAAATTCTCAAAAAAAAAAAGATTTTTACGAAATTTTCAAAAAAAGATTGTCTTTAAAAAATTTAAAATATGGTACGATGGGTTCCAGACATTTGCCTTAAGGCACGATGCCAAGCACCAGTAGTAAAACGTAATTCACAGGCGTAACTCGTAATATATGTGTTACGTTTAGTGCATCGGGGGTATCATATCGCCTGATCCATAACCTAACTGGTGGCATGTTATTATACTTAATACTTAATACGCTTCGAATCATTTTATTATTCTTACACTAATGAAAACACATCGTATGAGTTTTATTCGATTCCTATCTCTGTTATCAGCGCGATCGCTGCACACAATTTATGATAGGCACTTCTATTCTAGTAGCATTCAGAGCGTACTGCCGACTTGGAATCGGAATCGGATTCGGATTCGGATACGGAATGAAAGTAATCAACACTTAACTCGAACAAATTAGGTCTGAAAAAACAACTGTTTGCTTACACGAACCTAATATTAGCGAGTTTGTGCGTGTGCGAGTCTTAACAATATTTATTTTAATGCATTTATGGTCGTAATACAGGACTTTTCATTGAACAAGTAAAACGGATACGCACTTCGCTAAGCAGAGACGCGGACGCGGACGCGGACTTTTATTTACTCGTTCGGCAATTAAACCTAATAATGATTAGGTGTAAGCGGCATTTAGACATAAGCCAAGTTGCATCCACTTACCGTTATCTAATAATGAGGTGTTAATCTACAACATATGAAATATGTCTGATTTTCAGAAATTGTGACTTCAATAGCTAAAGGAGAATGTTAACAATTATTGAAACCTATTAATTGTTGTATACATAAATACATTGCTCATTCGGCAATTAATCCAAATAATAACTGAATTGCCAATATGGTAGGGCTCTTATATTGAGAAACCCAAACCAATTACATCACAAACTAGTGGGGCGCATGGCATCGTGCCTCAAGGCAAATTGCTGGAACTATCCGTAGCAAAAATTATTATTTTTTTTTTAAAGATTACCATTTTTGAAAAAAATTACTCTGAAAAAAATAGGTTTTTAAGATACTATAAATTTTTGACAAAAATTTACTTTTTTTGAAAAAAAGACTTTTTGAAGAAAAGTGTCTTTTGAAATATTGTAGAAATTCTGAACTTTTTTTCAAAGCAATCGTACTGCTTTAACTGCATAGAAACGAAATATCAAAGCGCGTAAGCGCCGCGCCGCCGTCAAACGATAAGCTTTAGTACGGAACCCATAGGAATGTAAACAAAATTTATACTTATTGTTGAAATCTCTATAAAATATCTGATAATTTGATGTACATGTGTCTAATGATCATTTTTGACCGCCAGATGGCTTTTTTTACTTTTTTTACTGGATCTCCGAAACCGCTAGACCTGCCTTCATGAAAATTTGATCAGTTCTTCATCTTGGTAATACAAGTGAAATGTTTTTTGAATTATTCAAATCAGACGCTCCGTTCTCTTAAAAACTGAGTTATCGTTTTTGGTACTTTTTGCCCCATATCTTCGGACCAGCGACTGCCTTCCCAAAATCCCAGGACCATAGACGCGCCTTCGCCAAAAACTAATCAGCATATCTCCTTATCAATACAAATCGAATGTTTTCCGAATTATTCAAATCGCTTCATA